GTCTCAGTACATGGTACAGTCTAAATCCTGACTGGAAATCCTCGCAGATACCATTTCTTTCTAAAAAGGAACCTAGTTGTAAGGATACTGCCTTTTCTAATATCTTTGACAGAAAAGGTAGATTCGAGATCAGTCTGTAATTGACTAATTCTCTTGGTTAAGTTTCTCTTATAAGTTACAAACCTGACCGTTTAGCTCTATAAGGTCAAGTCAAGTCAAGTCACCTTTATTTATATAGCGCTTTTTACAATACAGATTGTATCAAAGCGCTTCACAGTGATAACATGAAAACAATATAACAAAAACAATATAACAATATAACAAAGTTTGTTTCTAAAAGAAATTGCGTCAACGTCCACCTTAAGTAAGGCAGATCAATAATATTATTGAATATTAAATGTTAAATGTCCCCAACTAAGCAAGCCAAAAGCCAAGGCAACAGTGGCAAGGAACCAAAACTCCATCAGGTGACAGAATGGAGAAAAAAACCTTGGGAGAAACCAGACTCAGTCGGGGGGCCAGTTCTCCTCTGGCCAACGAAGGAACAGTGCATGATTCGGGCAGCATTACAAGTCAATAAGGTGTATCATACTATGTCCCCCCCATTTTCCAGATAGTTTTTACACCCCCGGTTAAGTGTTAATATAGTAATCATTATAGATTAGGCTAAATTAAGTATTTTGCACCACTTTTTTATTATCAGATCAAAGAATAATTACCTTTGCCTTCATGCTTCATGTCATGCTGCCTGTAATTTGCTGAATGATTTTACTGTTAATCAGTATATTGAATCAGTACATTCTGCAGCCCTTCTGTATTCAGTACTTATGGACTCCCATTATGAGCGCCTGCTGTCAGGCATATGCAGTAAAATCCCTCGATGCCTCTCGTTTCTGTTTCTCCTCTTGCTCTGAGATTGAGCTCTTTTATTGAGCTAGGTGTGATTTGACTGTCTTGTCGGCTCAGGGTTTGGAGTACGTCTGGAGATGTGACCCGCTTGTCTTCTCTGCTCTGACTGTTTTAATTATGTGCCAGTTTTTTGTGGGAGGTGAGGCTTTATTGTCTGTTAATTATGTTGAAGATGGATCTTAGATGTTCCTCACACTCATAATTGCTTTTTTCTTCTACGCTCATGCTTGAGTGGCAGGGTATGAATAGAGCTTAAGGATTCAATCTCAGAAAGAAATGTCCAGGTCATTTTTCACTCCATACTTTAATTGCGTGAAGAAAATGAAGCCTATTTTTTATTATTTTGTATAATGATTATAGACAATGATTTTATGGCAAAAAACGGCCCAGACATTTCTTGACAGCTTCAAGAGAGTCTCATGCATGTTTTAGGATGTGTGTGCTTCAGCTAGTGTGACGCCAGCTCTGGCCTTGTCACTCATTCAGAGTCAAGCATTTCTTTGTGGCTTAAACACAGCAGTGTGTCCCTGAGAGTAGAGGAAAGCTGCTCACAGCTCCTGTGATTTTGATCGTTTTGGTGAAAAGTCGACACTTTAATGGTCCTTAGTGTTTTTCTGATCTTTGACCTTTTCTAAAAATAGCCTCTGCATAGGAAAAACGCTCAAAAGTATCTAAGATACTGAGCTACTGATAGTTAATGCTTGGTTAGTCATTTGACATTAAAAGACAATTTTTTCCATACTGTATATATATATATATATATATATATACATACACACACACATTAAACCCCCCCTTTAAAATAATAACATTTTGTTGCTTTGCTGCCTGAAATGAAGATGGACACAGTTTTTGTTTTATCCAGCTGTGTTCAGTGCAACTTATAACATCCAAGTGAAAGATATAACACCAACATGTCAAAAAAAAAAAAAAAAAAAGAAAAAGAAAAAAAAGAATTACCGAGTTGGAAAAAGCATCACCCCCATGTGTCCGTATTTTGGTGAACCACCTTTTGGTTTAATTACAGTCTTTAAGGCCCGTTCACACCAAGTGCGATAACTAAAGATAACGATAAAGATATAGTTCTAAAAATCGTTCTCAATATTAAAGAATAGCAGAGTTCACACACCACAGCTATATAATGGCACAGAGAAACAATATCGTTGGAATACCTTTTAGAACAATTTTATCCAGCCGATGAACGATAAAAACGTTGACAGCCAATCAGAATCCATCCATTAAAGCGTCAGACAAGCATGTGCTTAGAATAAACAGAACGATATCGTCCACTTTTGTGTACGCTAATATAGTTATCTTTATAATTATTGTCCTTGCTGTGAACGAGCCTTTAGTCTGTTGGGATATGTCTACTAACTTTGCACATCTAGACGTTGCAATATTTGCCCACTCCTCTTTGCAGAACCGCTCAAGTTCAGTTGCATTTGATGGTGAGCGTTTGTGGACTGCAGTCTTCAAGTCATTCCACATATTTTCAATGGGATTTAAGTCTGGCCATGCAAGGAGATTCACCTTTTTCTGCTTCAACCACTGTGTGGTCAGTTTTGCTGTGTGCTTTGGGTCATTGTCATGTTGGAAGGTAAACCTTCTTCCCATTGAAAACTTGCTGGCAGAGGGCAGCGGATTTTCCTCAAGAATTTGATGGTATTTTGCCCCATCCATTTCTCCTGCTATCCTGACAAGTTCTCCAGTGAAACACCCCCAAAACAACGACTACCATGAATGGTGTTATTTGGATGGTGAGCTGTATTGGATTTCTGCCATACATATTGTTTAGTGTTGAGGCCAAATAATTAAATTTTAGTCTCATCTGACCACAACATCTTTCTCCATGTGGCCTCGGAATCAATGGCCTCTGTTTTGGCAAAGCTCAGCATGAGGCCTTTCTTGAGGAGTGGCTTTTCTCTTGCAACCCTCCCAGACAAGCCACATAAGTGGAGAATTTGTGATATTGTTGTCACATTATGACCACTCTTTGTCATAAATCCCTGCAACTGGGCCTCTTGGTCGCCTCTCTGACCAGTTTCCTCCTGGCTCTTTCATCCAGGGACATCAAGGACTGAAACGCTGCAGAAAAGCTATTTTCATGCAGAGCTCATCAAAATGACCACAGCTGATCACAGTTGAAAGTCAAATGGCTGTGTTTGCCGTTGAGAGGGTGATTACACCTGATTTAGGAGGGGGGTGATCCTTTTCCCAACTCATTGTTCTGTTATTATTGTTTAAATTTATCATGGGTAATGTAGTTTTTCCAGCATTAATTCTGCTGTTAAACATGATTATTTAAAAAGTAGTAATAATGTAGGCTAATGGCTTCAACAGAAGCAAATACTATCGATTAACAACCTCGTAGCTCACAGTATGGCCGTCTTTAATCGTTTATAAGTTAAGAACCCGACTGTTTCACTCTATATGTCCCCCCCCCCATTGTCCATGTTTTTACACCCCCGGTTGAGTTAATATAGTAATCACCCCCCCGGTTTCATAGACAAGGGGGGGGGGGGGGGGGGGGGGCTCGCTTAGCTTAGTCGCAGACTGTCTGAGAGCAACTTGCACTGACATATCTTACAATATGTCAATGCCATTGTTTCGTCTCAAGATTCACACACCAGTTAAGGTTTTAATCTAAGGCATGTTTATAAAAGCTACTTAAATGTCCTAACTGAACTAAAGCCCAATCCTGGCTTAATCTAAGCCCTGTCTGTGAAACCAGGCCATAATAGATTCAATTAAGTATTTTGCACCACATTGTTTTTATCAGATCAATGAACTATTATACCTTTCCCTTTATGCTTTATGTCATGCTGCCTGAAATTTGCTGAATGATAGTATTTTACTGTTAATGAGTATATTATATCAGTGTATATTGTGTAGCCCATCTATTTTTGAAAAGTAACACTATTATAATGTATACCTAAAAAATCCCCACATATTTTCCTCCCTGGTTTTTTCTTCCAGGTCATCATCTTGGTGAAGTGGCCACGATGAAATCCCTGATTTTGAACCTCATTAAATATTCATGAAGTTTTTAGAGCATTTTATGCCAGGCCCCATATGGAGCCACACAGTGACTTTTATGCCAGATCTGTTCATCCACGCCAGCTCATGTATCTCCTGCCAGGCAGAACGCCTGACAGGTGCATTACGTGCGTGAGGACGGGAACACAGACGCTTAGTCGAAACATTGACATCGGCCCAGACGTTTTTAGTTGCTCTGCTGTCAGCCGAAGCTATCTGGCAGTATTTCGATGTAAAGTGACTCTTTTAGTTGTGGCTATAAAACATTTAACCTCTCACAGTCGATGTTTCTTATTTATTCTTCCACCATCAAGCTTCCCTGTGGATTTGATTTGTATCCCCAGTCGCTTTCAGAAATTTGATTCATATTTTTATTTTAGGCGCATTACATGACTCTCAAGAACACCTTACAAACATAATAAAACAATCAACATTAAATAACAAATGATCGAATGTCTGATTGCTTCAGAGTCAGACTGATGAATGGAGAATTCAACATGTAAATTCTCACTAGAAAAATACTAGAGGTACTAGATGCCATTCTGGTTTGAACTGTTCAAGGTGGTCTGGTTTGCTGGTTTTAGTGTGGTTTGTCAGCTGGGAGACCCGCTAAAGCAGCTTTTTAACCAGGGTTGACTACGTCTTGGTTGTACTGACCTCTTATTTCCCTACCAAATCATGTGGTGTTTGTGTTGGTTGTATTCCATCAAGCTCAAGCATTTAACCTGGTTTGTTATTGTTTGAAAAAAGAATTTTTAGTTTAATTTAATTTAATTATTTTGAAAAAATATATAGAAAAACTAATTATATATATATATTGCAATCTGGAAATGTTGTCTCTGTCGTGACAAAAAGTGTACAGCGTGCACTTGACAGAAGCTACTGTGTGTTGCTGTAAGTGTCTCTCTTCACACACCATGTGTTTGCTCAGAATTGATTGATGAATCCATTTGAGTGCTGTCAACACAGGTCAGTGTACAATGAACCAAAGTGAAATGGACAAACACTGCTGGGACTTGATGGTCGCTGTGTGTGTGTGTGTGTGTGTCCTACAGGTCTGAAGACGTTTCTGATATCCGGGAGGAAGGTGAAGCTCGCGCAGTGGAGCTGTCCTCCGTCTGCTCTGGTGAAGAGTGAGCTCAGAAAGTCTCTCAGCGTCACGTCCTTCAGTCCCGACGTCACGTCCTCAGCCTGCGCTGCGACCCCGGGCCCGGACAGAGCTAAGGTCAGTGTGACGGACAGGCACTCAGTTAGGCCACTTACACCAAAGGTCTTTATCCTATACGATTATAAGGGATGTTTTAATGTGATCACTTCGCAGGTCATTGATTTAGTGCAGTGGTTCTCAACTTTCCCCCACTGTCAATGATAATATTCGGCCCCAAAATTACTGGTACTTATGTAATGACAAAAGCGGCTCATTTTTGCTGAACTTTTTTATTTACAGAAACCTGGAGGGAATATATTAAAATGATTGAATATTATTTTTTTATTATAAATTAAATATTATCATGATTATTTTTAATAATTACAATTACCTATTTAATATAGACAGAGTTAAATTTAAAATAAATAATTAGACTAGTATAATATATATATATATATATATATATATATATATATATATATATATATCACTATTATTATTATTACACTGTTCTGTGGAATACTTGATTCTGATTGGTCAATCGCGCCATCCAGCGGTACGTTATTCCCCCATAACAACGCTAATGTTTCTCAGGCTTTAGACTTTTTATTAACAATGTATTTACATGACTTTTTTTGGTCGTTCATGATTATAAATTAAATTAAATTAAATTAAACAAGCTTTTTTTTTTTTAGCTTATTTTAATAACTGTTTTGTCTTTTTTTTTTAAGCCATCTTGAGGTGTCTTGGATTTTGTCTTTTGGCCCCTGGTTGACAACCACTGATTTAGTTTATTGTTTATTTAGATTATATATAGTTTATGACCCTTGGTAGTGTCTAATTTTCTGTTCACGATATATTGAATAGGGAACTAGAGAGCTGATGGTAATCTAACTTAATAAATATGTCCAATCTATACTACTAATACAAATCTATCTTTGAATATTGGAGTCAGTGTGTCGGGTGTTTCATTGGGTTTCATTTGATGTTAATGCACAATGTCTCTCAACGCATGCTGGTTTCACTCAAGTGTTCTCAGAAGAGCATTATTCCTTTTTCTGATGAAAAGTCCCAGCTGGAAACACACCACTGCAGTGATTTAGGCCATGAGGGATCGTAATGAGCACGTCAATAAGTGAGCGTGGTCGGACGAGCACCGGTGCGAGATCATAATGCGCCTGTGTCTGTGCAATGCATCCACCTCTCCTTTTGATCGATCAGTCACATGCACAATGCATTCATCCAAGCAACCTTTCAGAGGACGCCGCATTACCCAGCAGCCTTTGCAAGAGACTCTCGTCATTGCACTTTAATACTGATGGGACCTTCGGTTCTCTCTCTCTCTCCTCCTGTGCAAGAGTCCATCTGTAGTAATTATTCATCACCAAGGGCCAAGGCCAAACATTGCTGATTTTTAATCCCCTGCATATTCAAACGGCAAATGTTAAATTGCAGATGCAACCGACTTTTGAGCTGCTTGCTAAAGCTGCCATCACTACTACTGACTACTGACTACTGATATTTGACTACTAACTACTGATATTTATATGCATGAAAGTAGTCTGTTATAATGTTTATAAAGATCTCCTTGATTAATTTTACAAGCTATCAGAATTTCAACTTACTTTTTGGCCAAATAAATATAAGCAGCTGCACCAAATTGCATATTTTTGAATAATCTTCAGGTGTTTTTTCTTCTGAAGTTTGAGCTCCATATTCTCAATAGCCTACATATGAGCCATGCAAGCCTGATGCATGAGAAATGATCCTCGACAATTATTATTAATAATTACAGTTAATATGTTTTCTAAATGTTCAATGAACTGTTCTATTTAAACAAAAAAATCTGCCTATTTTATCTTTACAGGGTTAAACACCTGCAGTGCTATAGCAATCACTTAGCAATGTGCTAATAACAAGCGACACACTAGCATTGTAAACAAAGATCACTGATCTTTCCATGTGGAGTCTTGTTTCTAAGTTTAGTTTTTCATTGACTCTGTCTGTCATGTTTTGCTGCTTCTCTCCCTCAGTCTGCCTGTCCCTCGTGTAGCGTGTTGGCTTCTGAAGACGGGTCACTTCACAGCAACAGCTGCACTGATCCTGACCACAAAACCATCAACAGAAAGGTGTGTGTCTTGCAAATCCCCAGTATTTAATTTTTGTTTATGCCTCGCTAAAACTGCATCATTGGTGCAACTTAGAATATACAATGGAGTTTCAATAAATAATGTAACAAGACCTTTTATACAGGAAGTCCTGCTATCTTAGATTAGCTAGATGAGCAATGCTTCATTGAAGGCTACATGATAGCGCCACCTATTGGTTATAATAATAAAAACAGAAATCATTGTAATATGCGGATGTGCTGCTCAAGAAACATTTCTTATTATTATCAATGTCGAAAACTGTTGTGCTGGTTCATATTTTTGGGGAAACCATGATACATTTTTCAGGATTCTTTTATGAATAGAAAGTTTAAAAGAACAGCATTTATTAAAATGTATGCATTGATTTAATGCATCCTTTGATGAATATCTTACTGACCCCAAACTTTTGAATGGTAGTTTACTTCATAATTGTGTTTAATATTTTTTTTTCTATTAGTAAAAATTTATATTGAGAACAATGAAAATATAAAAAAAATGAATAAATCTATAAATAAAAGGAAAACATTTGGACACAGTAATGAGAATTACATGAATGAGAATGTGCCTAAGTGAATTGAAAATAATACCTTTAATAAGTGATTTTTTATTATTTATTTTTTAGATAAAGTGTGGCCTGGATATGTGTGATTATAATATAATGTGATATAATCGATATATATAATTTTATGTGATCACCCATAAAGTTTGCATTTACATACAGCTTGTGCATAATATTGGTCACGCCATAACCATAAATGTGCATAAATGAGAGGTCTTATTTATTGACATATTTAAGATCGTGTTATTTATTGAAATGCTCTCTTGTTTACCTTTCTTTAGTGTGTAATGTTGCAAAGCACAGTCACTCCAGAGGGAGTTATTCTCTATATCAGTGTCACTGTTTCTGAACTCTCTGAAACGCCTCCATTGTAGTCTTGAGTTTCTTTCAGGAACAAACAGTGTCACAATATCCCTCATTTAAATAATTCCTGCACATATGCAAAATAAAGGAGTGAGACCTGGTTGAGTTATTTAGTAGTGTGTTGAAACGCGGGGTTATGGTAAGGGGCGGGACATTTCTGAAACATGCTTGAAGCGGTTGACCAATCACAACACACTGGTCCAGCCGACCAATCAGAGCACACTGAGCTTCTCAGAAGGAGGGGCTTCATAGAGAGAGAGAGAGAAACTAAACGGAGCGTCACTGACAGACTGAGAAGAGAGGAGCAGCAACAATGTCAAATATGTGAAAAATATAGTGTTTTTAAACATTCAAGCATGCAAACCTATTCTTGTAGACCACAAAAACAAAATCAAGACTTTGAAAAAAGGCATAATAGGTCCTCTTTGACAACATTGTGCTGCGATTCTTTCATTGTTTCTGAATCTTCTTCAGGGACCGCAAGGCAGGAGTCCCAAGACCCTTAATGGGCTGTTAAGTCCTCATCTGGAGCAGCCCCTGACCCACAGCCAGACGTCCCTGTGTGAGATGCTGCAGGAGAAGGAGAAGAAGTGGCCCGGAGTAGGAGGCATCAGCTGCATGGGAACGATGGACCACTCCGCCCTCATCCCACTGCGCTCCAAAAACTTCCGCGAGAGGAGCGACGCTCACTTTGTGGACGTGATAAAGGAGGACAGGTAGGGAACGACAGCAGTGAGGACGAGGCCCGCTGGGACAAAAATGTCAGACAAGATGGAACGTTATTGTTTAACCGGCACCAGTGGAGGTCATGCTGTTCCCAGAGGGACACTTGATGCACTTTGATGTAGTGTGCTGTGATGTACTGTGTGTGTCCTCCGATCCTGGACGCTCCGTTTTTCTTGTCTTTTTCTATAAATGCTAACAATGTACTAAATAGTTACATATAGTATTTTAGTGCAAAATTAGTAACCATTATAATCCAGTTTATCTAGGTGCTGTATGCGCTGATCTTAGCGGCCCCTAATTTAATAACAAATGATCATTTCGACGGAAGTGAATCAATCAAAACTAACTTTAGCTGGAAATAACATTATTCAAGAACCGCTATAAAACCAAACCAATCTCTGTTACCTTAAATGATATGTTTATCTCTGTAAAGACCAATCACAACAGACTGGGTCCTCTGACCAATCAGAGCAGAGTACACCAATCACAACAGACTGGGTCATCTGACCAGTCAGAGCAGAGTAGACCAATCACAACAGACTGGGTCATCTGACCAATCAGAGCAGAGTAGACCAATCACAACAGACTGGGTCATCTGACCAATCAGAGCAGAGTAGACCAATCACAACAGACTGGGTCATCTGACCAATCAGAGTAGAGTAGACCAATCACAACAGACTGAACCATCTGACCAATCGGAGCAGAGTACACCAATCACAACAGACTGGGTCATCTGACCAATCAGAGCAGAGTAGACCAATCACAACAGACTGGGCCATCTGACCAATTAGAGCAGAGTAGACCAATCACAACAGACTGGGTCCTCTGACCAATTAGAGCAGATTAGACCAATCGCGACAGACTGGGTCCTCTGACCAATTAGAGCAGAGTACACCAATCACAACAGACTGGGTCATCTGACCAATCAGAGCAGAGTAGACCAATCACAACAGACTGGGTCATCTGACCTATCAGCGCTAAGAAAGGAGGGGTTTAGAGAGACCGTTATGAATCGTTTCAGACACTGTGAGAAAAGAACAAGAGGTGATGCTGCAATGTATATTATGAGAGAATTAAAATGTTTTGTTTTTTGCTCTTGGATGCATGTCAACCTATTGTAGGAGACCTCCAAAAAAAATTAGGGACCTTTTAAAATAGCATAATAGGGTTACTTTAAATATGTGGGTATTATTTTTATGGAGGTGGTCAAATTGACCCTAATTGGATTCACTGTAATTCCCCAAAAATCACACTATGGAAAAAATAAATAAAATAAAATCAGATTTTAACAGCAAACCTTTAACATTTATACTTCTCATACATTCGTTTGATTTTGGGTTGAAGTATAACCAGGATGTGTTTTCGTGTTATTCACTCATAAACAGCTCTATATATATACATATATCTGCGTTGATATAGCTCCGCACCATATGCGTTTCTTTTTTTATGCCTCATTTCTACACAAATACTGCATGGATATAAGAAAAACAGATGCAGCGGATGAACTCCCTCATCAATCTAATGTTGTCTTCTGTGCTTCGGCCTTGCAGTCTGATGAAAGATTACTTCTTCAAACCGCCCATCAACAAGTTGAGCCACACTTTCATAGACAGATCCCTGGAGTCGGCTTACAGGACCAGCTACCAGGACGAGGTAAGACGGTCTTTTCATTTATCCGTCGCTTCTCATGTGTTCTCACGATGTCACAACGATGTCATAACTGTTTTTTTACTCAGTCTGGGTCTGTGATGTTTTGCTAACTGAAAGAAACGGCATATTTTGTTGCGCTGTCTGTACTGCCCTCTGGTGGCCTGTCTTTTGAAATACATGTAAAGATATTATGAGATGTAAAGATGTTACATTAGGCAACATCTCACTTGATTTGATCGATCATTCTGTTGATTGTCAGGTTAAGACACACGCTCCCGTCCAGACGTTTGCCAGTCCGACGTTCAGCTCCTTCCTAGACATGCTCCTGTGCTGTTGTGTATTTCTGGCTCTCTCGTTGGCTTGCTTCCTTCGACCACTGGTTACCCAGAAGCCCCTGCCCACACCTGCCCTCATCGTGGCCGCAGTGGCAGCTGTGCTCGAATGTTTGGCCCTAGTGCTTGCTATACGGTGAGTGTGGCTATACTTGATCATTTAGTCACCCTCATGTCATTCTAAACCATTGGAATTCATTTTTTTTTTTATGAAACATAAAGTAAATTTCAGAATGTTTTGTTTGTTTGTTTACACGCAATGACATTGACGATGGGTTTGTCAGCCATTGAACCCAAGAAAGGCCTTTTAACTTGCTGTATATTCCAGGTCTTCTGAATCTCATTCACACTTGTGTATGATCAAATATGGCGCAACACGTCATTTCTATTTTTGAAGAAAATACATTTTTCAGGTTTGGAATGACATGAGGGTGAATAAACAACACTAGAAATTTCATGTTTGGATGAACTATCTTATTTAAACTTGCCTGTGTGGATGAGGCCAACAGTTTTGAAAAGAAGGTTTTACTTGCTCTAAATATTCTCGAATTATCTTTTTTAATGCATTTCAGAAATGCCTCCAGTGCTTGTGATCTGTCAGGTCTGAGTATTTTCAAGGTTTTTATAATGAAGAAATTCTAGAAATATTGCTGCTGTCACAGAATGAAGCTGAGGTGAAAATATTATAAAATAATATATGTGGTTAAATAGCGTTGAGGAATGAAACTTTCAGGCTCTGTTTTAACCAGCATGCGGCTGGATCTGTTCCAGGCTGATACAAAGCCATGTTTCATAATCAAATTTAAGATTTTTATCATCCTTTGTAGCTAAAATTTAATTTTGCATTCAGTCACCTTAATGGCGTGGCAGTAGTTTTTAAGAATATCTCTCTTTGCAACGAGATTAAATGCAGATAATTGTTTTACTCCCTGGAAATTGTGGTGAGATTTGATTTTATTGTCTGATAGAAATGTCAAAATCAATTATGTGCTTTTTACAGCCAATACATTTTTGGTCTACTGGTCTACTTTTTTCTCTCTCAGTGTTTCATTGTCTGTATGATGCACTCATTGTATAGACACTATTCCTATGTTTTTGTTCACATCAGTGTGATTTTAGTATCTTTAAGATATTATTATAGTTTTTATTAATATTTCTTAATTCATATTTGTACATTTTATAATTTTGCTATTCTTATTAATATTATTTAATTGATATTCCATTTTTTTTACCTTATATTTATATTAATATTTTATTATTTTCTGTCTTCAGTTTAATTTTAGTTAAAGGTTTAGTCATTTTTTTTTGTATTTTTATAATTTTAGTAGTTTTTCTTTTTTAACAAATGTATAAATATCTGTGTAATTTATTTCAGTTTTAATTAGTTGTTTTAGCACATCATGTTAAACCAAATAAGTTTTTTTTTTATATGGTTTTAGTTTTAGTTTACCTCGGTTCACATCAAATTAAATATGGCGTCTGCTCTAACTAAGGTCCACTAACAAGAAAATGGCTGGCTTAAAAATTTGGGAGTATTTTCCATATTCCAGTATGACATTGGGATGTTTTTCCCTTTTGTTGTTCACAATAGACTGTTACTTCAGTTTTAAAACTGGACATGGGCAAAAGCAGCTAAAAGTACAAAACACAGTGTATTTGAATCGCACATACTGATACTGTACAGTCCTGATGAAGTGCATATCCTTCACAGAAGAGCCTTTTACCTGGACAGCGTTCTGAACTGCACCATGACCCTCCTCTGGGCCATCTCTGGCTGGGTTCCCCGTCACATGATCGGGGCGGTGCTGGTGTCTTTACCTGCCGTGGCTGTGTTCTCTCACATCACCTGCGATATGCATGACTCCATACAGGTAAAGACATTGTGGAGGCGTTCTCATTTATTTTTTACAATATACATTTATATTTATTGAAAATGAATGACATTTGTTTATCATTTTGAACATTTCCCTCACAAATAAGCAGAACAATGATGGTAATAACATGGTTCTCTCATATCTACCAAAGCTCTGCACACATTCATATTGGAATTTTTCATATTTAATACTGAAATTTTGAAACTCAGTTCTGCTGTTGCGGATCGCAGCACATTTTCTTCCATCCGTTTGGGTGGTAGAATGAAAATGGATCATTCCATTTTCCATCTTTAGGTAGAATGAAAATATTTAAGAATATATGTAAATAAATTAAAACTTATATAAATATTACTAACATTGTAGTCACAGATTTGAGTCAAACTTGAGATTTATTCTTATCATACCAGTGAATCAAATCAAAAACATTCTTTACAGATGTTTAAAAGTTTGGGGTCAGTAAGATTTTGTTTTGTGTGTGTGTGAAAGAAGTTAATACTTTTATTCAGCAAAAAAAGATCAAAAGTGACAGCAAAGATTTATAATGTTACAAAAGATTTCTATCTCAGATAAATGCTTTCTATTCATCAAAGAATCCTGAAAAAAATCATGGTTTCCACAAAAATATGAAGCAGCACAACTGTTTTCAACATTAATAATTATCAGAAATCTTTCATGAGCATCAAATCATCATATTAGAATGATTTCTGAAGGATCATGTGACACTGAAGACTGGAGTAATGATGCTGAAAATTCAGCTTTGATCACAGGAATAAATCACATTTTACAATATATTCACATAGAAGTAATAACATTTCTTATAAATTGCAATAATATTTTAGAATATTACTGTTTTTACTGTATTTTTCATTTGAAAAAAATGCAGCCTTGGTGAGCAGGAGAGACTTCTTTTAAAAACATTGAAAATGTTTCCAACCCCAAACTTGTAAACGGTAGTGTATATAAACATTTTAATGCTTGGAAAGTTTATTGGACCTTATTGTGTAAATTATCCTTAAAAACACAAAAAAAAAAACACAAGAAACCATTTCATATACAGTAACTCCTTTTAGGAGTAGCAAAAACACATACAGCATAGCGTCTTGCTAACACAATAAATGTGCACGCAGGGGTAAATGCTTTTAAGTGTGCACTTTAGTATGTAAGGTACATATCTATTATGTAAGATTTTATAGATATGTCTGGTGATGTGGTGAAATAGATGCAGTAATTGAAGCACATTTCTGCTGCTCTCAGTCAGGAAAGTGCATATTTCTGTAAACTGCAATCCTGCACACACTCTGCTGCGAGCATGAGCATGTTTAATTCATGTCTAATTCTTTTCCCCAGTTCACCATGTTCACCTGCTGTGCTGTTATAATTGCCATCATCCAGTACTGCAATTTCTGTCAGCTGAGTTTCTGGATGCGTTCAAGCCTGGCGACGCTAGCGGGAATCACCTTTCTCAGTGTGCTCTGGAGCCCTCCTTGCAGGTTCAAACTATCACAAATACACACATTATACACCGAACTGCTACATGCTGCAAAAAAACTCATTGATTTCATGTGTATTTTTGACTTGTTTTTGGAGAATGAGAAGGCATTTTGTCATTCTGCACTGGCAGGTTTTTATTTTACCTTATTTTAAACAAAAAAACATGTAGAAAAATATGCCAGTATAGTAAGACAAAATGTTTAGTTATTTTAAGTGGAAAACAAAACATTTAAAACTTTGTTACGTATACTATCATTCAAAAGTTTGGGGTCAGTAAGATTTGGCTTTAGGATTTATTTGATCAAAAATACAGTACAATATTAATATTGTGGAATATTATTATTATTTAAAATAACTTTTCTGTTGGAAGATATTGTAAAACGTAATTTATTCCTGTGATCAAAGCTGTATTCTCAGCATCATTACTCAATCTTCAGTGTCACATGATCCTGCATAAATCATTCTAATATGATGATTTGATGCCCAGGATGCATTTCTGATTATTGTTATCAATGTTAAGTTGAGTTGTTCTGCTTCATATTTTTTGTAAATCATGATTAAAAAATAAATACCAGGATTTTTTAAGGCTTTTCACACTGCGATTAACCCCGGGTTATCATCGTTCTAAACACTGCTTTTAACCCCGGGTAAATAACGTTTCACACTTGTAATTTAAAAGCAGGGTTAGCATCTACACTGAAGCTGACTTCAGCTAAAAAACAGCTGAAATGCATAATTGTCCTGTTATCACTGTAAAGCTGCTTTGAAACAATCTGTACTATATAAAGTGCTATATAAATAAAGGAGACTTGACTTTTTACCCGGGGTTATGAAACCCTGCTCCTGACCACTGCACTGTTTTTGCACTGTTAACTTCGCATTGCGGTGCCAAACGTGTGCAGTGTTGATGTTACGACTAGATTCTTAGCAACCTAAACTCATAACTCGTAATATAATTATTACGAGTAAATTACGAGCAGTGTAAAACGTGAAGCATGATAACCCATGATTCCTTTCACCCGGGTTTTAGACTTTAGAGTGACCAAGTGTGACCCCGGCCTTTTTGATGAATAGAAAGTACAAAAGAACAGCATACATTTGAATTAGAAATATTTTGTAACATTCTAAAGGCCAGATTTACTAACAGCTTGCGGCAGTGTAAACCGTCTTGGTTACTAATGTAACCCTCGTTCCCCGAAGGAGGGAACAGGAGACGCAACGCCGATGTAATTGGGATCGCATTGAGAGACCAATCTACTTCGAGGCAACACCAGACAGTGACGGCAGAGCGGACTCTGCCAAGGGAAAGACATGGGCTCACCGCAGGGAGCTGATCGTGGAAGAATACGCAAATGGGATCGCTGCAGGGATCACCATATGGAACCCAGCCTAGCACAAGTTAACAAGCATACGAGCACTAGTCCTGGGGTTGGACGCTCCCCAACGGTCCACTATCCTCTGCTTAGAAACAGCCTTTCCCTTCTGCTTGCCTCTGTAACAGACGAAGAGCTGATCTGAGGTCCTGAGGCTTTGCGTTCTGTCCACGTACAGACGCAGACCGCGAATGGGACAGAGAAAAGCCAGGGCTGGGTCTGCCTCCTCCTAAGGCAGCGCTTGCAGGTTCACTACCTGGTCCCGGAAGGGAGTGGTAGAAACCTTGGGCACATATCCGGGCTGGGGTCTCAGGATCACGTGAGAGTTAGCCGGGCCAAATTCTAGGCAGGATTCGTCGACCAAAAATGCATGCAGGTCCCCTACCCTCTTGATGGAGTCCAATGCAAACAGGAATACTGTTTTACAGAACAGAATTTTTAACTCCGCTGACTGCAAAGGCTCAAAGAGTGGTCTCTGAAGTGCCCGAAAGGACCAGAGACAAATCCCAAGAGGGTATAGAGAGCGGGTGAGGAGGATTTAGTCTCCTCGCCCCCCTCAGGAACCTGACGATCAGGTCGTGCTTTCCCAGTGACTTACCTTCAACTGCCAAACGGCACAAAAAGGAAGACCTGCTCCTCGTACTCCCTGACTTTGCACAGGGTCTGTGCAAGAAGGCTCACTGGGGGAAACGCATATTTGCGAAGACCCCGGAGCCAGCTGTGTGCCAGTGCATCCGTGGCGAGGGTCCCCTCGGTCAGGGAGTAAAACAGCTGGCAGTGCGACATGTCCGGGGCGGCAAACAGTTCTATCTGTGCGGTCCCAAAGCGCCTCCAAATCAGCTGGACCACCTGGGGATGGAGTAGCCATTCTCCTAGTAGCACCTGCTGCCGTGAGAGCTCGTCGGCTGCACGGTTGAGCAGGCCCGGAATGAAAACAGCACGAAGCGACCTCAGATGCTTCTGACTCCAAAGGAGGAGATGGCGGGATGCGAGTTGTGACATACGGCGGGAGCGTAGACCACCTTGGCGGTTGATGTATGCAACGGTTGAAGTGCTGTCCGTACGGACTAGTACATGCTTGCCTTGTAGCGAAGTTTTGAAGCAGCCCAGCGCAAGATGTACTGCTAACAACTCGAGGCAGTTGATGTGCCAATGCAGTTGAGGCCCCGTCCACAGACCTGAACCTGCATGCCCGTTGTACGTGGCCCCCCATCCGGTGGTAGAGGCATCTGTGGAGACCACTTGTTCTAGGGGAACACCTGCCCGCAGGAACGAAGGGTCCGACCACAAGCTGAGAGTTTGGCAACAGTGCGGGGTCACTTGGACCCGGCACGAGCCGCTCTGTCACGCCCATCTTGGGACTCGATCGTGGAGCCAGTGTTGGAGCGGCCTCATATGAAGCAATCCGAGCGGTGTTACCGTGGCTGCAGATGCCATATGCCCCAGAAGCCTCTGAAAAGGTTTCAGTGGTGCCGCTGTTCTGCATCTGAGGGAGCTCACGCAGTTCAACACTGACTGGACACGGGCCTCTGTGAGGTACGCTGTCATGTTGATCGAGTCCAACTCCATACCGAGAAAAGAGATCCTCTGCCCGGGGGTTAGTTTGCTCTTTTCCCAGTTGACCCGAAGCCCTAGGTGGCTGAGGGGACTGAGCATCATGTCCCTGTGTTCGTACAACTGCTCTCTCGACTGGGCCAGGATAAGCCAGTCGTGCTGACGTGGTCATGTTCTCATAAAAGAATATAACCACCCACAAACAGAGTCTCAACATGTTTGCGATGCGATAGAGGAGTGAGGGGCCCACACGGATTGGTTATCGGGCGGGGACGCCCTCACTATAATCCTCTGGTCACCCTGGCTATACGCAGAAGTAGCCCTTTTCTGGTACACCAGAAGAAGAACTAGATCGGGGCATAGGCTAGGGGACTCCACCTCGTTTGAGGCACTTGAGTCTCGACCACGCATCTAGAGCGCCAAACTACGCGGGCTGGGTTGCCGTGACAACCCGTGCTGTCAGCCGGCAGCTCGACGGCACACGGCACGCTGATCACTTAAAACTTAATAAAAAAGGCAAGACGAACAACGTGCCGACGTGGTCATGCTCTCAGAGAGCATATTGTCAGCACTGTCTGTGCTGTAAAACCAACAAAAGCTTTGAAGAGGCGTTCCCCTGAAGAGACTCGTTTTCTTCTTTTGAAGTTTAGCACTCAGAAGATTGTAGAGCAGGAACAGTAGAACCGTTCGGATCCGAAGCGAAAGACAATATGCGACGCACCTGCTGCTCGTTATATGCTCGCGTTGCAAGCAGAGCAGCTGATGCAATTATCGCATGCCAATGTGCATTGGCTTGTTTTAAGTCAAGTCAAGTCAAGTCATCTTCATTTATATAGCGCTTTTAACAATGGATTGTTTCAAAGCAGCTTTACAGAGATAAACATATAATTTAAGGTAACAGATTGTTTTGGCGTTATAGCGGTTCTTGAATAAGGTTACTTCCAGCTAAAGTTAACTTTGATTGATTCACCTCCGTCGAAATGATCAGACTTTAAATGCGAACCTGTGATTAACGCTGACGGCGTTCACATGCTCATTCAGAATTCTATAGTTATGTGCTTTTTAAAATATGTGCGCAGGTTTGTAATTCATACAACCCAGCCTAAACAAACTACTTTTCTTGCCTATAAATTTTGATACAGAATTTTGTTTTATTTTATCACTTCGGGGTACGCGAGCCGGAATTCACAACGCTTTATCTGTAGAGTGGGAAAGGGATCCTCCATAGGGAGAGGATAGTGGATACTTCAGCACTGCATTGTCATCGGGTCCAGGCAAAGCTCCTTCGTCAGATCTGGACACGGCCTGGATCCGGCAGGCTGCGGGAAAACCTCGGGATAAACAAAGACACTAATATTAGCGTAGATGCCATTCTTCTTATGATGTAGCGAGTACATCAAGATTTAAGGGAAGTGTTCCCAGTTCCGGCTGACCTAATCTATGCAGCCTAACATTGAATTTATAGAAGTCTATAATGTATTATGTGTATGCTAGGTCAAAGAGATGTGTTTTTAGTCTAGCTTTTAATACTATCGAAATAGATTGGTCTCTCAAGGCGATCCCAATTACGCCAATTACGTTACGTCGAACGTGAACGACTGATAGGGAACCTCTTTTACTGTCAGGATTTACTAAAGACACACAGTGAAAAATTAGCGTTGATAAGGTGTGGACAGGGTTATTTTTGCGGCTAACCTTATTTCATATGCATTTGTAGGAGTTTCCCTTTTAGACACAAAATTTATGGGAGGAAAGTATTTAAATGATTCACGCAAGGTGATTTACTATGATTTGCGCTAGTCAATTTACTGGTACTTGCGCCATTATTTACCGCCCAAAAAAGCACGTCTTAAACTAATTAACTAATTAAACTAATGCTAATTTGTTTGATGGAAATGATCTGGCTGCATCTGTGTTCTTAAATTTGCGTGCTGTCAGTAGATCACACGCAGAACTTTCCATTTCCATCGATGCTTTTATGGGATTCCGCTATTACACTAATTTGCCTTGTTTAGTGAATCTGGCCCTTAATATCTTTACTGTCACTTTTGATTCATTTACTGCATCCTTTCTGAATAAAAGTATTAATTCATAAAGGTTTGTGATTTGTGAAAGGTGCTTTTGATTGGGCTTTCATAGATTAGTTGTGATATTCTAAAACTAATTAAAGGAGCACTTCACCCATTTCAACATTAATCTTTATTGAAAGTGGGTCATATATGTAGTCGAAATGTAAAAGAAATTTTGAATTTGGTGCCCTCTTGACCGAGAAAAGACAGAAAATAACTTTAGGGCGCATTTGTGTGTAAGACCACAACTCCCAGAATGCACCACGTTGCACAGCTCCGCAAGCCACTCCCACTAATCCAGAACAGCGCAAAGTCGCAAACATCAGAGAAATCACTCTTCCGTCTACTCTACAGGGCTAACGTTAGCTGCCACCAGAGTTAGAAATTCATTTCACACAAAATGTATAGTTAGTTGGCTGTGGCGAGCAGGACGAGGGACGTGAGAGCGGCGCGAGGCCGGTGGCGTGAGTGATAATGAACGACACCTGTGAGACGCACTGGTCTCTCTCGCGTCTCTCACCGAGGAGCGGACGCATAAAACGAGGAGCGACAGGGCAGATCGAGAGAGGAACAGGCCTGATTTTATGGTGTGTTTTGTTTCTGTTGTGTGTGGCCAGCATTGAGGGGCTGCTGGCTTATACTTTTGTTTTGTATTTGTTTATTTTACTATTAAAATGTTTAAATGTTCGCCGATTCCCGTCTCATTCTTCCCACAACAACGAACCCCGTTACATTGGCAAACTCATTAGCGAATTAGCAGCTACTCCTCGTTTGTATTTCTTTCTATATGGTGAATTATTGCATGATACCTGGATGTTCCAGTCAGAACATATGCGGTGCGACACTAGGATGGTTCACATCACAACACAAACGTCCGTGTCTGCCTCTGACATTTCTTCTAGAAAGAATTGGCATTTTAGAGATTATTTGCAGCAGACAGACTCTAGCTCGGTGTCCATAGACGCAGTTACAGCACGAGCACCACCAATTCGCTACAGCGCGAGCAAGCCCGGGCTTCTCGTCTGCGCCGGGCTGGTCTCCTGCGGCGGCCGCTGCCGCAGCCGACGCCGCCGCCTCTTGTTCCTCCATCAGCCTCAGCTGCTCTTCGCTATATTGTGGCTCGTATAAATAGCCACGAACATCAGTTTCGAGCAAAAGATTTTCAAAATCCTCGTCTTCCATATCGTGTGTCGTAAATTCAGGCATTATGGTAAATCTAACTCCTTGAGCGCTTGTTAGCTTAGCTTGCTGTCTTCCAAGCAAGATGGCGGATTAATAGTTTAGTTTCTTCAGGTTTAGTCCCACCCACTGATCTGTAATAGGCCGGTGGGGTGAGTGGGTCCCACGCCCTTGAATAATAATGAGCTAAAGGCTGTAGTTTTCTTAATATGCAATGAAATTTATGTTCCGTCCTATCGTGACGCAAAATGACGATATTTACGTCACGATAGGACGGAAGTAAAACACTTAAATCCTTTTTTCTCCCATCTCAGAAAAAAAACAAGCAAAATTCCACCATCATTATAATATATGACTGGGTTTCTAACAATACAAACCTTAATGCAAATGGGTGAAGTGACCCTTTAAAAGCTAACTTTTCTCTGTCAATTTTTCTTTTAGCACTTGGGAACGTTTATTTTTTAGGTAAGTTTAAGACTATGGATACTACTGTCTGTTTTTTTATGCTAGCATACCACTCAAAATTTCCCAGTTTTCATTTTTGTTTTACTATTGAAATTGTCTTCCTCTATATTCACGTCACCAGATCCAGTGACTTCAACAGCAGCATTAATGACGTCCAGTCCTCAGTAGAAGATTCGGCCCGACCGCAGGATCTACTCGGCCCAGAGGCTTTGGTTGCCTTTTTCCTTTTGCTTCTTCTTGTTTGGTTCCTCAACCGTGAGTTCGAGGTGAGCTACCGTCTACACTTCCACGGGAACGTGGAGGCAGACCAGCACCGCATCAAAATCCAAAACATGCGGGACCAGGCGGACTGGCTCCTGCGCAACATCATCCCGATCCACGTGGCCGAGCAGCTGAAGGTGACCCAGAGCTACTCAAAGAACCACGACAACGTGGGCGTCATCTTCGCCAGCATCGTCAACTTCAGCGAGTTCTACGAAGAGAGCTACGAAGGCGGGAAAGAGTGCTACCGCGTCCTCAACGAACTCATCGGGGACTTCGACGAACTCTTGCGCAAGTCTGACTTTTCCAACATAGAGAAGATCAAGACGATCGGCGCAACCTACATGGCGGCGTCGGGGCTCAATACGCAACAGTGTAGCGACCAGGCCCATCCGCACGCCCACCTGCGAGCGCTCTTCGAATTCTGCCTGGAAATGATGCGAGTGGTGGATGACTTCAATAAAAACATGCTGGGCTTTAAGTTCAAGTTAAGGATTGGGTTCAACCACGGACCTCTCACTGCCGGAGTCATCGGCACCACCAAGCTCCTCTACGACATCTGGGGAGACACGGTGAACATCGCCAGCCGGATGGACACAACTGGTGTGGAGTGTCGCGCTCAGGTTAGTGAGGAGAGCTACTGCGTGCTCAGCGGAATGGACTACGAGTTCGACTACCGAGGTACCGTCAACGTGAAGGGCAAGGGTCAAATGAAGACCTACCTTTACCCGAAGAGCGCAGACAGCGGACCTGTACCTCAATACCAGCTCTCGGTCTCTCCAGAAATTAGAGCGCAGGTGGATGGCAGCATCGGGCGTTCGCCCACCGATGAAATCGCTAATATGATGATGGCAACCAATGCCAGTAAAGTAGGTGCATCTTTCTCCGTGAGTTCAGGGCTTACCGGACAGGGATACGCTGTTAGAGACTTTCCCGAAAAGATTGCTGGAAGCAACGGTACGTCCAAGGCCCAACGATCTGCATCTGCTGTTGGCCTGACTTGCATACCAGAAACCAACCTGAGCGCAAGTCCAGCGGTTTTCGGTAAACAAGCAGAACCGACTTTGACCTCTCCTGTCCGGGCGGAAAACGCAGAGGCCAATGCAAACAAGGCGGGAGAAATAGCGTACATGGGTGAAATGACAAAACTTTGACTCTAAACACGCCCAAAATGTTGTTCCTGTTGGTCTTAACCCTTTAAACATGGGCTTGCAACCCTCTCCGTTGAGTTTGTAGGGATAGGCATGTTTATGGACGAATGCTAGTGTAGATTTGCATCTGTGTATGTGGAGTGGAAAGTTTAAGCACATAATCTTAAAAGTCTTTATACCGCTAGCTGAACCAGGAGACACTTTCACATCTAGTGCCGTGGACCATAAGAAACTCAGAATCATCAATCTACATGGAATAAGAAATGCTGGGGACGGCACAGACCTGAAGTCCCATCCTTAAACAGACCGCAGTTATTCCCGCTAATTTAATTTTCACTATTATTCCCCTGCTATTGTATACCTTTCGTGAATTATTTTATTTTAATGAAGTGCCTTTAGGATGATAACAACAATATGTATGAGGCATTTAAAAAAAAAAGATTTCTCAATCAAATCTTTAGCTAAAGATCACAAAGATTTAGCATATAAAATTGATGTTAGAAAATGCTTTAATTTTTGTGGAAGTATTTGATATATTTTGGAATATTTATTGATATCTCTGAGTTCTCGTTGTCGGAACGTTCAGCAGTCAGTATTCCAGACAATTTTACAAAGCTAAACTCTATATTGCGATTTTAAAAAGACCCAAGACTCTGAATGGTGCATGGCCAAAAGTGTCTGTGAAGAAGTATTAGTGAAATGTAGAGCAAGCTTTGGGCTAAATTCACCTACAATCAAGAATATCAAACATTTCACAGGAGATTATTTCTCTTGCTTTATCTTGATGCATGTATTCCTAACTGTCTGATTATGGCCTTTCTGTCTTTTTTTCGTGATTTTTTTCCTGTCGCTCTTCATCCTGCAGCTGAATGTTCAGTTGAGAACTAACAATGAGTTCATAGTCTTAAAGGACACATTCGTAGTCTTAAAGGACAAAAATGCTTTCATGCATCAGCTACTGTGAGCTACTGTTTTAAAATATAGGCAATTTGATTACAAATCAACTTTAAAAAATCAACATTGACCCCATTTACTCTCCTAAAAAAGTTCCTGGTCTTATTCTGGATGATTCATTAGTGCACGTTGTTGTAAAAGCAAAAATGTTTGTCTCACGGGCATGGAAAAAATAAAGTTAGCCAATAGCCATATGACAGTGTTATAGACTTTTGTAGGTAGTGCAGCAATTCAATGATGATTAATGGTAAACTGATTATGGCAATAATAGCAAAATAACGATAGATTTGAAAACAACATTTCAAAATTGGGAGATGCTGTGGTCAAGAATCCTCCTCGAAAGTGGGTTGCTTGTGTTGTTTCATTTTTATTCTGGTATTACCTACTTCCACCATCCAAACAATACCTGATGGATAAAAATAAATTCTGTCCTACGTTATTTTTCCTCATTGAATATTATGTTGCACTTAAAGGTGCAGTAAGCGCTTTCTGAGAAACACTGTTGATATTTGAAATCAGCCCAAACAAACACACCCCTCCCTTCATTGCTCTGCCCCCAAAATGCACAAACACAGATGTGGATGTCTCTTTATCATAGCTGAAGCGAAGCAAAATAATGCTTGGCAAAAAAACTAAGCGAAGATGAGGAACGAATGACAAGGGAGAACAAAAATTTAACAGAGTACACAAGAGTATACAAGCAAGTCTCGTGTAGCCAGAGCTTCAGATTGACGGCAGATGGTCTAGACTCTGTCGCAGATTTTCTTGGCCAAGGACCGCCCAAGAGGACGTTTGACTGACATGTAACGTGTTGACATGTGACATGTAACGCTTGAACTTGAAGTGAACAAACCTGTGGTGGCGTTTACAAAGTTCCCAGTTCTTTGCATCCCGGCCACGAGTGCACCTTCAGAGAGACATTCAGCCTTTGTGCTCAGATTTGGGAGGAGAGATGCTACTGAAACCATCGTTAGTCAGTGACATTCTGTTAAAAACGAAATATTTGATTTTGCAGTATAGCTAGTAAGCCAACCGGTTTCATTTATTCGTATTTTTGGTGTATAAATTTGAGTGACAGATGTCATATTTCATGTAGCCTAGTTTTCTTTATGAGAATTTTTTTTTTTTTTTTTTTTTTTACTGTGTTGATTGTATCATGAAATGACAAAAAATATATATATATATAAAAAGTTGGCTATACAAGAATTTTATTTGTTATCCCCAATCCCTCTCTCTGTCTTTAGGGGAAATTTAAATGTGAGATTCTGGAAACGAGATCTAAATTTAGCGGGATCGGTCGGGAAGAAAATCATTCTAAGCAGATAGCGGGTGAACACAGAGTGATTTTAGGTGGGAACAGGTGCGTGCAGAACCTAGCGTAACCTAAATAAACAGTCCCGCGCAGACCTCTAGGCCCTGTTCACACCTGGTATTCAGATGCGTTTTGGTCCATCGGATCACAAGTGGACGAGGCTAAATACAGGTGTAAACGGGGTCTAAAACGTTTTGAGCTTGTCCACTTTCCACCACTTCCAGAGGTAGTTGAAAACACATTCGACGGGATTGCTTTCTTAGTGTAAACGCTCATTTGGTCGAATGTGTTCGAAAGACGCATACTCTCCTCCTACTGACCTAATGCGTAAACATTATGGGAAGCACTATCCAGACGGGATTTAAACTTTATCGGCTGGAGACACAAGTTTTGTTTAAAGATGAAAAATGTACCAAGCATAATGTTCTCACGCCATGTCTGATTTCTAACACACACTCAGCGTTCGGCTGGTCTTGCGGCTTTCAGAGCAGAAACAAAAGCTGATGTTCTCCGTGTGTTTTTCTGTCGTTTTCGGTCGCAATCATATGTAAATTGCACAAGCTTATTTCATCCATTAGATCGAAAGATCTGAAAAAACACGTACATTTTCCCCGCCCATTGACCCTCCCCTCGAAGAAATCAGGACAGTGATCCCTCGTATACTTGTGACCCGATCGACCAAAACACATCTTAACACCAGCTGTAAACAAGGCCTTAGTTACAAGTGTGTTGTGGCACTTGGTCCGATCCACTTTTAACAGTGTTTCTCAGAAATCGCTTCCTGCACCTTTAAGAAAATATGTCAAATGAGAGTATTAACATGCCATTTAATGTTGGCTTTGATTTTGGTTGTCGTCAACTAATATCTGAGCGGAAAAAAAGTGAATTAAATGAGTTAAAATGTGAAAAAAAGAAACTTTAACTCTATTTCAAAATAAATGGACAAGAAATTGTGGCAGAGGACAGTTGCGAGTACTGGCAATAATCTAGGTAACATATATTTACTCTAGCCAGTCAAATGTACAGACTTGTGTGAATATTATAATAGATTAGACCAGCCTTAACTCTGCCTGCTTGTCTTTTGATGTGCAATATAAAGGGTGAATTATTGTATGGGATATTAGCAAAAGGATCTGTAAATGTAGATTTGAATCTTTTTGCCATTGAGTTGTCGCTTTGTAAGTAACTTAATCTGCACTGATACTGCAGCCATTATATGACTGTCACATGCTTTAGTCCATGATGTGTTTACCTTTTGATAGCAGTTTGTTTTCCTTACCTTTTAGCTTTATGATAGGCAACCAAGGGTTGTGTGCTCAAAGATATGTTGCTGATTTTTTACATTTATAGGGATTGTGCTATGATTATGAGCAAATGTGAAATGCATAACTTTTTTTTTTGACATTTCTGTGAATTTGCAATCTGCCAAGATCCTAAAAGGGAACTGTTCAAAAATGAGATTCATTTGTCAGTATTTCTCATTGTATATATTAGTGCCTTTTACTTTTAAGTTAAGGCATCGACTAGTCAAATTGAAATCCTTGTTTATATGTTCAATTTCATGCTTGTTGTGTCTTAATGTGATCTTTAGCGCTGTGCCTTTTCTTAAGAATTAGCTTGACGTGTTCATTCTCACTGTATATTCCTTTTGAATGTGAACCGCTCTTCATTTTGAAATATTGGTAGGATGAATATTGTCATTTTACTAGGTGCCATTCTTAAATAAGTCATTTTTATTCTGTGCTGATTTTAATACTGTTAAGTTGATGTGTTTTCGGTGACGCCAAGCATTGCAAGCCATGTATTTTATATTTTATGGGGCACAACTTTTGCTAAATAATAATAAACATGCCCTTGCTGTCTGGAGGGGTAATGAGCACACAACCTTGTTTCAGAGAGCAGAGCAATATTAAACTTGATCCAACTAAATAAGCATTACGCTTCAGCCTCTGAACTGCTGCTTTAGAGCTTGAACTTGAGCTTGACGAAGCACATTTATGTTTTTTATCATAGGCATTATACATAACTTTCCATTCCATTACTTCTGCTTGAGACTTCATCATGAGCAAAGCAAAAAACACATTTGGGTGAATGAAAGGGCTGAACTTATGCATGATAACAGTAGAGCCACATTTTATTTGATTTTTTTTCTACTTTACAATCACTTCAGTTGGTCCAATCGATGAATACAAGCAATTTGACATAATACATGTGTGTGTGTATAATTTGACACACGAATGTGTGTTATTGATAGAAGTATTACACACTGAGACTTCTTGCCAAAGAGTGTAATTATTAAAGAATGTATGATTTTGAGTTTCAGTCAGTTTCTTTGGAGATACAGTCATTTAAGAGTTTATATAAAGTTTCTCCTTTGTTTGTACATATGCATTGCTCTGTATTTAACATATAACCTATTTCATTTTTGTATTATTTATACCGATGCATGTGCCATACTATTACATCAAAGCTAATGGATGAAAAGGGAAAGCCAATAATACAGTGTTGAAGTCTGTGTGCTGCCTGTTGATTTACAATGAATATACCTTCAAACTTTCTATGTCTGACTGTTCACATTAACAATATATCCTGTGCACACACTTCCACACAAGTTTTCTATTCTATCCCCTTAAATAGGCCATGACTTTCCTTGCTTTATTCTTATCAAGTATGTATTGTATTTACAAATTGCAAGGCTGTACCATGGCAATTAAATGGCAGTTTGCAGATACTACTGAAAAATCTCTTTAACCTGTGCAAGAAACTTGAATTAAATTTTAATAAAGAGGTGTCACAGAGTAACAATAAATAGTACTAACTGTAATATTTGTCACCATGGTACACTTTTGTGAGGGTCCACTCAAATTTGAACCGATTGAATACTACATCTTCGACATTTATATGTAAACACCGGCCTCTAGCGGTTGTTATGGTCACGACCGTGTGACGTACACGTTTGCGTAAGGGGCGTGGCTGCGCAGCCCCTCCTCCTTCACAGTCTGGCTGGAAAAGAAAAAAAAACTTTTTGTATCGAAGGAATCAACAGCCGCCATCTTGTCGCGGATGAGCGTCAGGATTTCGGGAGAGCATTATATCATTTTTTACGCTACCTGCTCTATCGGAACCGACCCAAATAGCTTCCCAGCGACGAAAACGACAAGCTTCGGGCCAAATCGCGGATCTTTGTGGCGAATATCAGCGTAATGGAGCCGTTTTTGTGGTCGGCTGGAAAACCCCCGTATATCTGATTTCCCCCTTCAGCGCGAGCGGCGCTCCTGTGCCACTCGCCTATATTAAAAAATAATATTTTTTTTCTCATTTTTCATTTATATTGCTGGACTTTACTGATTGTTCGATTCGGGCTGGACATGGAGCATGAAGGTCTTTATTTTTATTCGCAGAAAATAGCATTTTTGAAGAGACCCACGCGAACCACCTAAAGGAATCGAGATTTTTCGCCCTCGTCGTGTATTTCTCGGTTTTAACGATGATATAATTTATTTTCGTGGGGTTCGGGGCGATCATTAAGGTTAATTATGCGGGTTTTGGGTGTTGGATTATCATGGGGTGAATGGCGATGGCGGAGCGGGGCGCTGTTGAGTCGCGTTTGAGCCCCATCTGTTAATTATTGGCTCCTGATCGCTGAATAATAATAGAAAAACCCGAGGGTTGATTTGATTTATTTCGCTTTGTCCCCCTTCCGGGCTCTTGGAAGACGCATTTATTGCTTTGACGTGTATTTTTGTGAAGCGAGAGAGAGAGCACGATGGCTGACAATCTACTGGATATGGGTCCTCCCAACGCAAAGCGGCCCAAACTGAACTCACCTGCGCTGTCCTCCTCCGACACTCCAGGTAAGATGCTCACCTGTCAAATCTGAAAACTTCTCAGACGTCATCTGTCATGTCAAAAATCTAGATAAGTTCTCAGTCAGGTCACCTGTCTCGTAATAATACATGTGCTCAAACGTCAAATGCCAGATCAGAAACCTTTTAGACCAGACTAAACTCTCACGTGTTCAATAAGAAATCTCCCAGGCCAGGTTTAGGTAGCAATCTCACCTGTCCTATGAGAAACCGTCCAGATCAGGACCAGGTAAGTCTCAACATCAGAGTTGCCCCAGGTATGCTGCTCACCTGTCCCACCACAGATCGGTCAGTGCAGGTAAGACTCTGTTTTTGTGGGACTCTCACCTCTCCATCAGAAGCCAGATCCAGATCTTACTAGAGACTGACCAGTTATGGTTTTTCTATGACGATATCCATCGTTTTTAAAACTGTTTCTGATAACTGATATGCAGAATACATTTTTTTTACGCAGTAATATCTAGAAGATGATCATTAGACCGAAATTAAAAACAGATGCATTATAAATGTTATTATTCTTAATAATAATTCTTATTAGTATTACAGTTGTTATTATGCAAAGTTATTTGTTACTTAAACGATCAGTTTTGAGTTAATTGCTAAGGTACTTATTTCTCACGTGAGAATGCATAACTGTTATGTAATTGAAAGATAATTACGTTATATTTATATACGTTTTTAAAATTATGTTGAGTATTATTGAGTGCTTTTATTTAGACACTGACAGCCATCAAATTGTGCCATTTATCGGCAGGCTTGGTGTTAAAGAAAATCAATTAAGTTAAAGTGTGAATCTATTGGTGAAATATATGTCGGTTTAGATGCGTCATGTTTAATTTTCTGATAACTGATATGCAGTTTTTGAGTTTTTTTTTTCTTTTTTGTCAACAACTAGATTGTTTGACAACAATACAAATACATAATCAATAATTATTAGTAGTATTACTGTTGTTTGCGAAGTAACTTTGTGATCGAAGTGGTCAAAAAGCAATCTATAACACTTTACAATAAGGTTACATTAGTAAGTGTTAACATCTGTTAATGAATTAACTTGCATGAACTAACAATGAGCAATATATTCTTACAGCATTTATTAACATTTTGTTTATAAAAATGTTCACGTAAGGGTACACAGGGAATTAACTAAAGTTAACAGATACAACTTAAATCTTAGAAATGTATTAGTAAATGTTGAAATTAACATTAAATATGATTAATATATGCTGTAGGAGTATGTTAAATAATATAGTTAAATTAAACCTTATTGTAAAGTGTTACCAATTTCTCGCTTGAGAATGAATAAATTATTTTAAAAAATTATTACTTTTGCATACTTTACAATACTGTTGTTGGTTGCTTTTATTTAGATACCCATCAAATGATCACATTTATTAGTTGACTCTGTAATAAACAACAATAACCGATTAAGTTGAAAAGTGTGAATATCAGAAAAATATATCAGTCATAAAACTGCATGATATCATGCAAATATATCAGTATAAAACGATTTGTCGTCGCTCTCTAGCTCTCACCTGTCGCGTCAAGTCAAGCCAGGTTCAGGTGAGACACTAACCTGGCACATAAGAATCCTCTCAAACTGGGTTCAGGTAAGACTTTCACCCCAGAACCTAGTCCATAATCTTACAAATTAAAGTTCTGTCATTATTTACTCACCCTCATGTCATTCCAACCCCGTAAGACCTTCGTTCATCTTTGGATCACAAAATAAGATATTTTTGATGAACTCCGAGAGGTTTCTGACCCCACATAGGCAGCATCGTTATTGCAACTTTCAAGGCCCAGAAAGGTAGTAAAGACATCATTAAAATAGTCCATGTGACTACAGTGGTTCAACCTAATGTTATGAAGCGACGAGAACTTTTTGTGCGCAAAACCCCCCCAAAAATAATGACTTTATTCAACGATCTCTTCTCTTCCACTTTATTCTCCTACGCTGTTGATGTAGTGTAAACAGAGCAGCGCCTCCGAGTTCTGCGTCAGAACGCCACCTCACCATTGGCCGACGCTGGTCATGTGAGGACTACGACACATGCGTGTGATGCAGGATCTGGCCAATCATGAGCCGGAGTTCTGACGTAGAACCAGGAAGCGCTGTTCTGCTGTCTATAAAGAAGGTCCGAAAGCTCTCGGATTCCATCAAAAATATCTTCATTTGTGTTCCGAAGATGAACGAAGGTCTTACGGGTTTGAAAAACTGAAAAATTAAATTTTTGGGTGTACTACCCTTTTAAGTACTTTTCACACTGAGCAAGACACGATAAATCAAATTCGCCGACGACCGGTGCTTTCACATCATACGCGAAACGTTTGATCGCCTTCTGCTAATTCACGGCTGCGTGATAGATGACGATGACCGAGAATGAATTTTTCCTCGTCTATATATCTCGCAGGTTTCACCATTTGGTTTTTTAACCTAGTCCAACAGAAAATTAAGATAAAGTTTGGTAATATACTAGAAACACAAACAGGTGCATTAGAGCTACAATTAGCATCAAGCTACACATTTACAATTTATGAGATTATGACTTTATTATATTGTGCAAATGCTCTCCACACATACTATATGTTCATCAAATACTTTTGCTTCAAATCCTAAATCCCAGCATCAGTGTGGATCAGTTTCTTCATTCTTACATTTTGAATTCTGCTTTCATCGTTTGCAATGTTTCCAGTTCCATCTTTACTGATTTTGCAACTGTTTACTATGTCTTGTTTTTCAAAGAGGTGGACTTAGTAAAGGTTTTTGCACACATGGACTCGTTTTGCAGTTAAATTTGTTAAATGCCAATTAATTGACTAAAGTGACTTAAGTCGATTTTTGAAAATAAGGCATTTCAATAGCTCCTTTTCACACAGCAATCCCGGTAAATTGTCGTTAAATTACTAGAATGACTTTACCGGTAAATGCACAAATATGCTGTTCACACAAGCAACGACATTTTGGCTTTTTGTCGATAAGAGACCATTCACACATCAGCAGCAAATTCTGTGATGTCCGTCATCGGAAAGTATCTTTAAACGCCACGCCGTTGTCTTCATTCACCCGCATAAGGAGAAGAGCTTTTTACTATCTGTTCAATTTGACAACATTTTATGACTTCTGAGTGAAAGGCAAAACGGATAATCAAACAGAACAAGTTTTTTGCTTTTAAAAACACGAGACGCACACAATAGTATCCGACTGCAGAGCCGCAGTGCTGATGAATGGAAAAGGCAGGGTCTCGAGAAAAAGTGTTGAAAAAGCTGTGAGACGTGGCGCAAGGTTCAGATTATCCTTTAGCACCTGTTTAAATAGAATAACTATTAAAAAGCTTTCTGTAAACAGTGCGGAGTAATCACATCATATGGCTTTATGATTGGCCCAAAGTAGGGCTGGGCAATATTAAAAATATTTGTTATCGATAATCGCTTTAAAATATATCACGCTATCCGATTATGTTGTCTACCCGAGCCACGTCTCGCCAGAGACAACACTGCCGACATACACATTTAATTTCCTTAATTATAACGTGTAGTTCTGTTTTTAAACTTGTATTCAAGCTATGATGTATTTATTTATCTAATATCAGGGATTAAAAATAATTGGTTCGTTCTGCATGAGCAAAAACGGTAAGGTTATTTTTTTCTTTCTGGTTCGAGTTCCAAGGTCTCCTTATAGGGCTCAGAAAACAGCTTGCATGCACGTTTTGCACGTCTTGCGCTTAAAGAATAATCTCAAGAATTGGAATCGATCTTCTATTCTGTTCTATTCTCACACATCTCTGTTATTATCAATGAAGCTGACTGCACAATGAATCTTTCATAATATCTACTCTTTGTTTGTTATAATTAGAGGATTTGCAGCATACAGAATTCAGCACTGAACAAAAAGTCAGTTTTGAGCGGTTCTGATTGGCCATTGCATTTAAGAAATCAACACATATGTCTGTGATTGGCTACATCACTCAACGCTGCAAACATGTTATAAATAGAAACTCTGGCCTGTAAATTGTTTCTATTTTGTTTTAGTTGTTCTTGTTGCTTTTCTGCAACCGATGAATAAAAATCTATTAGTTTTTGTTTTATTCATAGATATTTCTAGTCTGCGGGAGTCCCGCGAATCGTTTTATTCTCCCGCAACCCACACACACAGAGTGAGTGCATTACCGCCCGCACTCGGCCATCAAATCTAGTCCTGCGCCGCACTCGGTTGGGAGTGCACATCTCTAGATCAAGGGCCCGGGTCGGGTCAAGTTCGGCCTCGGGCAGAGAATCTAAGCTCTACCAACTATTAGCCTATAGAAAATATTTTATTCATGCTATTGCATGTGAGTAAATATGAGTATGGTAACTATGGGGATATGTTAAATATATTTGTCATTTTTCCCAGATATTGTCGGATTGTCTGCTGACTGTTATAATCGGCATTGCAGTACTTGCGAGACATCGTCGATATACAATAATATCATAATATCGCCCAGTCCTAGCCTAAAGCGGACTTCTTACGTCACCACGTTCTGACTTTGTACGTGATAACGATAATCTTCATTCCGTGTTCATTAGGTTTGGGAACCGAGAATCGGTTCTTATCCAGAACCGTTTGTGTTTATGAAAAATACCGTGCAAATTTCCTAAGTTTCGGTTCCGAAAATGGTTCTGGTGTGATGTGTGGGCAAAGTGCTGGGAGCTTATCCTTTAATAGCGACGTCTCACCTCATGAATATTAAAATAGTAATGAATGCACTGTAAAGCCCTCGCACTACTCGTATACGTTTTGCGTCCGATATCAACACAGAGAGAAAGAGAGTATAAAGATGCACGATGAATCTTTAAAAGATCTTGATCGCGATTCAAACACCCACGGGATCTTATTCCTAAATGACAAAAACTGATTCAAATCTGTTTGCGCTGTCACTGACCCAGAGAGAGCAGTTGTCAATATGAAACCGCTTTACTTTTACAATCTTTTCACCCACACAGTATCGATA